GTCGGGTTTCAAAAATCTCAAAGAAATTGTGGGCTTAGAGTGAAGAATTCAGGTGGTTTTAGCTCAAAAACCCACGGGGAGAGCTGGGGGCCAGCCTCCCACTTTGGGTTAAAAAAGCGGCCATTTGGGTTTAAAAAGTACCTGAAAAAGCTTCGTGGTGATTTTTAAGGGCAAAACCTCTACCCTGTGCCTCAAAAATGGCTTAAAGTCAGCTTAAAGTGGTGTTAAGGCTATTTGGAAGTTTTAGGGTTATCCTAGCTTTAAAAAAAAAAATAAATCTAAAACTGATTTTTTATTCTGTTTTTTTTTTTTTCCTAAGAAAAACCTAAGATTTGGTAAAGAGCATCTTTCCATAGAAAAATGCTTTAAAATGGCCTCTCCAGGCTCAGCTCCTGAGGAAAAAGCAGCTTTTGGAGTATTTTCGTGCAGAAAACACGAACTTTGGACATGTCAGAGTTGCTAATTTAGATTTTAAATTAGGGCTTAAAGCGGCTGGAAATGGATGAATTATCAAAAATTATCACTGAGATAAACCTTCCATAAATCAGGGTATTTGTGGGGGAGGCTTTGTCCAGCACTTGAAATGGAGGGGGAAAAAATTACATTTGAGAGCTTTAATGGTGGAATAATCCAGAAAATAATGAATAACAATAAGGAAATATTTTCTCCTGCAGGAAACGCCCCAAAAATGTCGGAACAGCTCCTCCCACAGACCCAAATGCCTCATCGCTTTAATCAGCAACTTTAATTAGCCCCAGAGCAGCTTTAATGAATCATAATTAAAGGGTTGGGAAGGGGGGGGTTGTCCCCTCCCTGCCAGCACTTTTGGGGTGTTATTTCCTGCCCGGAAACGCTTCCAAAATGCTGAAAAAAGCATCTTAAAACAGCTAAAAAATGCCTTAAAATGCCTCAGAATAGTGGGTTTTATTCCCCTGATTGAAAACAAGGACTTCCATGACTTGGCCTGGCCTGAAACGGGGTGAAACGCAGAGATTTTGATGCATTTTTGTTGTAAAAATGGAATAAAAATGGTGGTTAGGACTGTGCTGGATCAGGGTGAAAAAAGGGTTTAAAAAAAGGGTTGTTCGGGGCTTTTTGGGGTGAACAAAAATTGGGGGAAATTGGGGGTTTGGGGTCTGTGTTCCCTCAAGAATTCTGTTTTTTTTTCCCCTTTTTTGAGCCTTTTGAGGAGCCACGGCGCCTCCTTGGCAGCGGCCCAGCCCCGTGACGCAGCAAAAGCAAAAACCGGAATAAAATGAATGAATAATCATTAAAAAAAAAATAAAAGCAGCTCTAAAACCACCCGGGAAGGTCGCAGCGAGAGATTTTTAGGGCAGAATTGGCCAAAGCGAACAAAAAAATCGCTGTTAAATTTAACCAGTTTCGCGCTGGCCTGGGGGGGGGGGGACGCGGTTTGTGAGGGGGGGAAAAAATCAAAGAAAAGGGTAAAAAATGAGAAATAATGAAAAAAGAGGCTTTTTCACGCTGGGGGGCGGCGGGTTTGGGGGGCGGTTTTGGGGGATGTTGCCCTTTTTTGGCCATTTTAGGGACTATTTTGTCGCCCCCGCGGGGCCCTTTATAAGGACGGGGCAGCGCCGGCAGCGCCCGGCCGGAGCCAGCCCCGCCACGGCCCGGAGCTGCTGGATTTTATCCAAAAACCTCCGAAAAACGGCTTTATTTCCTGCCGAGAGCTCGAAAAATGCCTTTATTTCTTACCCAGAGCTCAAAAATTGGCTTTATTTCCTACCCAGAGCTCAAAAAATGGCTTTATTTCTTACCCAGAGCTCAAAAAAATGGCTTTATTTCTTACCCAGAGCTCAAAAAATGGCTTTATTGCCGGCAAAAAGCTCTTAAAGCTGCGATATTTTCTATAGAAAGAGCTCCCAAGAGTGCTTTTTTTTTTTTTTTTTCCATAAAAGCGGCTCCTAAATCTTTATTTAAAAAGAGATGAAAGCGGTTTCCTTTAAGGAAAACGGAGCTCTTAAAGCTGCTTGCTTTCAATTTAAAAAAAAAAAAAAAAATCCTTAAATTGCGGCGATTCCAGTAATGGGAAAAGCCGGGGCGAGCTGGGGCATTTTAACTGAAAAAAAAAAAAAGAATGAAAACCCTTCCAAAAAGCTCTTAAAGCTGGTTTTTATTGAAACCGAAGCTTCTAATGATGGTTTGGAAGAAATCGCTGCTTTCAAAGCAGATTTCTGGGAGAGGAGGCAGCTCTCGCAGCTCTTTAATTCTTAATATATTTTAATATGATACTTGAAAAAAGCCGGAGCGAGCTGGGGCGGTTTTAATTTCTTTAAAAAGAGCTTTTAAAGCTGCTTTAATTTAAAGAAAGAAAAAGCGCTCGATACGCTGTTTTCTGCTAAAAAAGCTCCTAAATTTATTATTTTTTTAATAAGAAAAAGCTCTTAAAGCTTAAAATAATGGAATTTAGTCCCCACGTGGGGCCGGGCCGGGCAGCGCAGGCGGGGGCGGCCGGTTTGGGGTGAAATGCGGCATTTTCAGACGCAGGATGGATTGAGAGGAGCCAATTTTGAGGGAAGAGCAGGAAAACTGAAGAGTGAAGATGGAATCGGCAGGGAAAGGAAAGTTTTTCTTCGCAGTGGCCCCATCTGGGGGGAAAAAAGGACTTTTTGGTAAAATGGCGGCAGTTGGGCAGGGGAGGAGCAGAGAGAAGAGAGGAAAAAAGGAGAGAAAGACAGAAAATAGAACAAAACAAAAAAGAAAATAGAAGAAAATCAGAAAAAAATTAGAAAAAAATAGAAAAAAGAAAACGAAATTGAAAAAATAGAAATTGGAAAAGCGAAAACTGAAAAAGCATAGAAAAAATGGAAAAATAGAAAATAGAAAAAAGAGAAGAAAGTTGGAGAATAGAAGAAACTAGAAAAACTAGAAAATTTGAGAAAATAGAAGAAATTAGAAAAAAAGAAAATCGAACAAATAGAAAATAGAAGAATCTAGAAAAATAATAGAAAAAATGAAAA